CCACTTCTACATCATCTCTCGTTGCCACTGCCTCCTACGCCGTCTCCCGTCGCTACAACCTTTCATTACCCCTTAATAAAACAAAGCCATGGTTTAATGACATTTTATGTGTAGAAAGAGATTCGTTTGCTTCACTTTTAAGATCACTTTAACGAGATATGCTCTATTCAACTTCATAATCCCACTTTAATCCTAACCCATAGTCGATTTTTAACGACATTATAAGTGTAGAAAGAGATAATAGAGAGAGCAAAACCCTAACTTTATTAATTTATTCAGATACTATATATATATATATATATATATATATACAAATAGGGGTATGGTTAACGGGTCATAGCCCATTAGCCCAATACCTAATAGACTTAATCTAACACTCCCCCTCAAGCTGGATGATAAATATCCACTATGCCTAGCTTGTCACATATAATAGAAAACACCTTTGAAGAAGTAGCATTGGTAAGAATATCAGCAAGTTGTTATGAGGATGGAGTAAATATGAGACACACTATCTTCTTCTCCCAAGCATCTCTGACATAATTATAGTCAACTTCAATATGTTTTGTTCTCTCATGAAATACATGATTCTGTGCAATGTAAATGACAGATTGGTTATCATAATGCATAGGCATGGGTCCAGGTTGAACAAAACCAAGTTCTGTCATAAACTTTTATAGCCATATCATCTCACAAGAAGTGTGAGCCATTGCTCTATATTCGGCCTCTGCACTAGACCGTGATACTACATCTTGTTTCTTATTTTTCCAAGTGACAAGATTACTTCCAATAAAAGTACAGAATCCTGAGGTTGACTTCCGGTCTCCCATATCTCCTGCATAGCCAGCATCAGAGAAAGCAGAAATGTGAGTATGCCCATGCTTCTTATATAGCAATCCCTTACCAGGGCAACTCTTGATATATGTCAAAATCTTCAGAGCAGCTGTCCAATGAACTTCTCTAGGTTTGTGCATAAACCTACTCAGTACACCCACTGTAAAGGTAATATCAGGTCTGGTAACTGTCAAATAGATTAGTTTACCAATCAGTCTCCTGTATCGTCCAACATCATCTAGTAGAGAGGTATTATCATGCCACAAATCAATATTTGTATCCATTGGAGTGTTTGAAGGTTTACATCCCAAGAGACCTGCTTCTTCTAGTAAATCTAGCACATACTTCATTTGGGACAACAATAGGTCATGCCTTTGATATGCAACTTCAATCACAAGAAAATATTTTGGTTTTCTCATGTTTTTAGTGACAAAATGACGGTTTAGATACTCCTTAGTCTCTACTAAGGTAACAGAATCACTCCCAGTGAGAAGAGTATCATCAACATAAACGGGTAAAATAACCAAACCAGTTGTTGTGCGTCGAAGAAAGACAGAGTGATCAGAATGATAGCGTTGAAAACCAACACTAGAAATAACATTGCTGAATTTATCAAACCAAGCTCTAGGACTCTGTTTTAACCCATAGATGGCCTTTCTCAGTCTACAGATAATATTCTCTCCCTGAACAACATACCTAGGAGGTTGCTCCATATAAACCTCATCGTCCAAATCACCATAAAGAAAATCATTCTTCACATCTAGTTGATGCATCTTCCAATCTAGATTAACAGCCAGAGAGAAGAGAATTCGAATGGAGTTGAGACGCGCAACAGGAGAAAAAGTCTCAAAATAGTCAATACCATATGTCTGGGTATATCCTTTAGCAACCAGGTGAGCTTTATATCTATCAACAGACCCATCAGGGTGATATTTCAAGGTATACATCCATCTGCAGCCAACCACAGTCGCTCCAGTAGGTAGAGAGACCAAATCCTAAGTCCCTCTAAAAAGCAGTGCATTCATCTCCTCATCCATAACCTATTTCCAGGCGGGTACTAATAAAGCTTCTCATGTGACCTGAGTAAAGATATAGTGGACAATGACAAAGCAAACTGACGAAAGGATGGGGTGAGACGGTCATAAGAGACAAAAAGAGAGATATGATATTTTGGGCAAGAACGTTACCTTTACGAAGAGCAATAGGAACATCTAAATTAGAAGAGATATGAGGCTCGACATGAGATGGACCTGCAGCTGGAGAAGAAGAGTCAGCAGGAGCAGAGACAGGTGTATGTACTTTAGGATGGCGAGAGTATGTCAATAGAGACTTTGGTGTAGTAACCACAGGAGTAAATACAGGAATAGTAGTAGGAACCGTAGAAGGTAGTGGTACCTGTGGACTGACAGAGGTAGTGGAACCAGAGGAAAAATATGAGACAGACTCAAAGAAGGTAACATCAGCAGAAACAAAATATCTCCTGGTGGTTGGATGATAGCACCTATACCCTTTTTGAGTACGTGAGTATCCAACAAACACACACTTAATGGACCTAGGAGACAATTTATCCAAACCAGTAGTCAAATCCTAAAAAAACACGTACAACAAAAAATTCGAGGAATCACAGAAAAACGTTTTTTAGCAGGATAAAGACAGTGGAATGGTATCAAACCATCAAGAATAGAGGAAGGCATTCGATTAATCAAATAACAGGCAGTAAGGACAGCATCAGACCACAAGTACTTTGGAATATTCATATGTATCATCAGTGTTCTAGCAACATCGAGAATATGTCTATGCTTCCTCTCAGCAATTCTATTTTGTTGTGAAGTGTGAGAGCATGAAGTTTGATGAATAATACCATTAAGAGCATAAAATTTTAAAACATCATTTTTCATATATCTCAAAGCATTATCAGTACGAAGAATATGAACATAAGTAGAGAACTGGGTTTTTATTTCATTATAAAAAAGTTCAATAACATGCGAGACTTCAGACCTCTCTTTCAACAAATATAGCCAAGTCATGCGAGAGAAATCATTAACAAAAATAATGAAATATCGAAAACCCTTCACAGAGGGAACATGACAAGGACCCCAGACATCAGAATGAACTAACTCAAACGCAAACTACTGCGTTTATCGACACGACTCTGAAAAGAAGCACAATGGTGCTTACCCAGTTCACATGACTCACAACCTAAAGAAGAAAGAGAAGACTGAACAGTAATTATCGATCTAAGTTTCTGTAGTGAAGGATGACCCAGATGCCAGTGCCACAGTAAGGTAGAATCAGGCTGTGTCGCAACAAAACTAGCACCCGGCATACTGTCGTCCAAATAGTACATACCTCCTCTCTCATGCTCCGAACTAATCGTCATCACAGTTGCTAGGTCCTGAAAAACACAATAAGAAGGAAAGAAGGTGACTTTACAGTTATTGTGCTTTGTAAACTTGCTAATGGGTAATAAGCTAACAGGGAATTTAGGAGCATATAACACATCAGTGAGTTTCAAAGAGAAAATAGCATGAACTACTCCAGCACCAAGAACTGGAGAAAGTGTACCATCAGCGATACGAATAGAGGGAAACTTATCAGAAAGATATAAAGAGACAAAACAATCATTTATACCTGTCATATTGGATGCGACTCCAGAATCTAGTACCCATGGTTTATGAGGAGAAGCTATGTAAGCATCCATACCTGAAGAGGATGCATGAGTAGCCGAATGACTGTACTGAGAGAGGTCTAGTTGGCGTAACCTCTCATAATCTGTCTGAGAGATCTGAACAGTAGGAACAGTAACAGCTGGATTACTAGAAGTAGTAGTAGAAACAGGTGAGCGAGTCGACTCGACATCGGCTACTTGGGCCCATTGAGGACGACCAAACTTCTCCCAGCATTTCTCAGAAATATGATTGGTCCTCCTACAGTGACCACACTGACATGAACCCCTATCAGAATCACTCTGTCTCCTACTAAAAAAGCCATGTCCTCTCACAGAATCACGACCACGACCACGACCGCGGCCTCTGCTTCTACTAGAGAACATGACAGACTGATCCACTAAAGGTGGAGACGGTGCAGAAGTATCAGAAGAAACACCAGTAGAGACCTGCATGACTCTGGAGAATGTAGCAGTCAGTGAGGGGATGGTATCTCCACCCAATATCTATCCTCTCACCTGGGACTGTAAGGTAGGGTGCAATCCAGAAAGAAACTTGGACACTGCCAAGTCACGACGATATCCCAACAGCGTCGTCGCATTAGCTACTGCAGTCTGATGCATCTTCAGTTCGTCTATCAGTCCCTTTAACTTACCAAAGAACTCCGAAACTGACCTATCTCTCTATTTGAGCGCAAACAGTCGCTCATAAATCTCAAATACACGGGAAGCATTCTTCTCATTTTCGTACATAATCTTCAAGTTGTCCCACATCTCCTTCGCAGTGGTTAAGAACATAACACTGCTACTAATCTGTGGTTCCGTGCTGTTGAGGAACCACGTCATAACACAATAATCAGATGAGAGCCAGGAACTGTAGGTGAGATCTATGGTGGGTGGAGGAGAGGTCAGAAGATGTGGAAGTTTGCTCTGAGCGTCCATGAAGATACGAAAAGCCTGAGCCCAGAGCAGATAGTTTTTACCATTCAATTTTATTGTAGTCCCTAAGACTACCTTAGACGCAGAAGTCTGACCAGCAGCAGCAGAGGGAGATGTAGAAGAGAAGGAGAGATCTTTTTCTGACATTATTGCACAATGATGGTAGGCAGGTAGTAGTCAAATAGCCAGGACAGTAGTAGAGATCTGTTCTTTAAATATAGACTAAGAGCAGATCAAAAAATAGACAGTAATAGATGACCGAATCGGGTCATATGTGGCTTCGAATCACCTATTCAAGGCCATGAAAAAAGAACAAAAAAACAGGCGGAGGCACTGTAGCAGCGGCGGCACTGT